ATGACGTTAGCTCCTGGGCTAATAAATATGACGTTAGCTCCTGGGCTAATAAATATGTCGTTAGCTCCAAGCTAATAAATATTGCGTTAGCTCCAGAGCTAATAAATATTGCATTAGCTCCAGAGCTAATAAATATTGCGTTAGCTCCTGGGCTAATAAATATGTCGTTAGCTCCAAGCTAATAAATATTGTGTTAGCTCGAGAGCTAATAAATATGTCGTTAGCTCCAAGCTAATAAATATAATGTTAGCTCCAAAGCTAATAAATATTGCGTTAGCTCATGTCGTTAGCTCCAAGCTAATAAATATTGTTAGCTCGAGAGCTAATAAATATGTCGTTAGCTCCAAGCTAATAAATATTGTGTTAGCTCGAGAGCTAATAAATATGTCGTTAGCTCCAAGCTAATAAATATAGTTTTAGCTCTAGAGCTAAAACATATGGTGTTAGCGCCAAAGCTAATAAATATGGCGTTATCTCCAAAGCTAATGAGTTAATAAATATGGCGTTAGCTCCAGAGCTAGTTTATATAGTTGTTAGCTCCAGAGCTAATACATATGGCGTTAGCTCCATAGCTAATATACTGTATATGGCGTTAGCTCCAGAGCTAATATTTCTATGGCGTTAGCTCCAGAGCTAATACATATATGGCATTAGCTCCAGGGCTAATAGATATGGAATTAGTTCTAGAGCTAATTTAGTAAACATGACGTTGATCACGTTTGGTCGCTCTAACCCATTTATTTTTCAGAACATAGAATCGAATGATACATTAGGGGCGGCTGTGGCAGAGTGGTTAGGGGAGTCATCCTGGGACCGGAAGGTCACCGGTTTGATCCCCTGTCCAGCTGTCTCAGTTGTCCTTGGGCAAGACACTTAACCCCTTAATGCCTCTGATGTGTCCCATCAGTGTGTGAATGTGATTGGCACTGATTAGTCTCCATAGATGATTGCACATGTTAGCTTTGTAAAGACATAATAGAGTGCTGTGTGAATGAGTAAATGAGGACACAGATTGTACTGTGAAGTGCTTTGAGTAACCTGGTTGGGTAGAAAGGCGCTATACAAGTACAGTCCATTTACCATTTACAGTCCATGTGCATATAACTGTGTACAGAACAACTTCCTGATGCTGGCTCTTTTGGCCTTCGAGGTGACCATTTACCGCCATCAGGAATACTTCAGGCTGAGGAACAAACTGTCACCGCCGGCGGCCCGAATCATCTTYCACGACGTCACTCGCCAGCACCTGGACATCGGCATCATCTACTTTATCAAATACTTCGTCAACTACTTCTTCTACAAGTTTGGGCTTGAGGTAAAGCATGTCATCTGCGGAGCAGATTTGTGTTTTAGGGGGATCAGGCCTAACGTTTGCCTCCGGTGTTTCTCCCAGACCTGCCTGCTGCTGGTGGTGAAYGTCATCGGGCAGAGGATGGACTTCTACGCCATGCTTCACGCACTCGCCTTGATCGTTGTCATGTACAGACGGCGGAGGAAAGCCATCGCAGAGATCTGGTCAAAGTACTGCTTCTTCCTGGCTTGCATGCTGACCTTGCAGTACTTCGTCTGCATTGGGATCCCGCCTGCTGCTTGTAAAGGTTAGTTTGTTTGAAGAAACAAAGCCCTGTCTTTGAAAGCGATCCGCAAATAAAGGCGACGTTTTAACGATGACTCGTGATGTTTTCATTTTAGACTACCCCTGGAGGTTTCCAGACTCCTTCACAGATTCCAACGTGATCAAGTGGCTCTACATCCCTGATTTCTTAACGAAGCCCAATCCATATTTCCTCATCTGTAAGTTCTTCAGTGCAGCAGGGAAGCAGTTCAGGTACAGAAAAAGAGTCAGCACCGTCTCTTAAACTTCTCCTCTCCTTCCAGACGACTTCATGCTGCTGCTCTGCGCCTCCCTCCAGAGGCAGATCTTCGACGATGAAAACAAGGCCGCGGTCCGCCTCATGGCCGGCGACAACGTGGAGATCTGCAGAGACCTGGACGCCGCCTCCTTCAGCGTCCACAACCCCGTGCCCGACTTCATCCACTGCAGGTGACTGGACGCCTCATTCGCTCAGCAGCAGAGCGCCGCCTKATTATGATCTAGAGTGATGCTCCTGGGAGACGGTCGATTGCTGCTAATCACATTTTAAAACAATTTAGAAATGTGAATGGTCTCTCTCTCTCTTTTTTTAATTAGACTGACCTAAAAATGTCATGAAGTCATTTTGGTGTCTTCACTCGGCTGGGCCACCGTCTCTGCAGGGGAAACGCGCTGAAATGGAGAGGAAGTGAAGCAGACGGCGTAATTGGCGCCTAATGATATCAGAGTCCGACAATAAAGTCGAACCGTAATGCGCTCCAAACAACTGGAGCTATTAAAGCTGTTGGGTTGAAGATTTGTAGTGTCAGCATATATTTAAAGATGCATGAAACAATTTTATTAGTCAGAAATTAACTTTTAAAGTACTGCGGCRTGAAGAAGGGACTCTTTCCTCAGAAAACTGTTTGAAAACATCTCGCTCTACCCTTCAGTCCTGAGTGACTAAAACCTGATTGTTTTGTTGTTTAATTTCCCAAACATTCAGAAAGTGAGACAATCAGCTACCTAATACTGTCCCACTTATCCACGGCTGCTGAAACTAAAACATCACTGCCCACCTCCTCTATCCAAGCCGGCGAAATTTATTCTTAATGCATCTTCCCCTGGTTTCGTAAAATAAAGCGGTCACTCCCGATGCCACTACGACGTTTACAAAATTTACAGAGAGAAAAAAAAAAACAACAACTCGCAGACAGAAATGTCTGTTAAATCTTAGCAAAGCGGGAGATCAACACGATGCCCTCAGGGCAAACTGAGGCGTCTCCCAACTAAAATCCAAACATGGCGTCTTTATGATGCTCCTCTAGCTAAAGGCCCTGTCACACTAAACATCTTATGCCAACTTATGAAACATTTTTTATGTCTTAATTGATAATAAAAGTTATATATTTGATCAATTTGTTAGAATTACATTATGTACACGGTGAAAAGAAGCTAAGATGCATTTTAAGTAGGATTTTGCTGCATTTCTGCCAATTTAGCATAATTAATCTAAAAATAATACATTAAAAGGGCAAAAACTGTTGATCTGAGGACAATAATGACCACTTTCTGCAGGACCTGACAATCCTCGTGGTGATAMATCGTCACAATCAAAACCCTGCACTCATCAGGTGCGTTAGATTAAATTAAAGGCCCAACATTCCTTCCAGTCATATCACACGATACAGGGCGGCTGTGCTGGAGTGGCTAGGGGAGTCGTCCTGGAACCGGAAGGTCGCTGGTTCGATCCCCCTTCCAGCTGTCTCAGTTGTTGTGTTCTTGGGCAAGATACTTAACCCCAGTGCCTCTGATGTGTGTCCCATCAGTGTATGAATGTGATTGGCACTGATTAGTCTCCATAGATGATTGTTCATGCTGTAGAGATCTAACAGAGTGCTGTGTGAATGGGTAAATGAGGACACAGATTGTAGTGTGAAGCAATTTGAGTGTCCTGGATGGATAGAAAAGCGCTATATAAGTACAGCCCATTTACCATTACACGCCACCTTTCACACTAACATCCTCCTATAATGAGGGGATGAATGGAATTACTACGACACAAAGTTTTAACTCCGTATCAAGTTAAATTAGACTGAGTAAGTCGTTTGTGTGTTTGCTAACGTCGACTAGTTTTGCTCCCAGTGTGTGATGGTAAGAGAAGCTGACCGGTGGCTCCGCCTCCTGTCAGTATCGTCTTATTAAACATCCTCAGTATAGATCATTTAAAATTCTGGCTGCTGTCCTTTTTTTCAGATCCAGAGCTTATCTGACTTTGCAGATAAAAAACAGTGAACAGAGGAGTTTTTATTATTTTTTTAAAGGCAGAGAGCGACTGAGAGCGCCGGCGAGAGCATCCTGACCTGTCCACAATCATTGATTATGTGCTCTTCACATTCCACTGTTTTGATGCGCAAAGTGGACAAGTCTTTTATTAACGCACTCTGTGTCCATCAACAAGCTCTTGTAGGCAGAGGAAAAGCTGCTCAGCCCGTCTGTCCGTGCCCACGGCAGCTCTGCACTTATTCCATCGCTTCCCTCCAGGATCGAATTACGGATACGGGGCGGGGGGGAGAAATCCATAATCCGCAGAAAACACTCTGTCCGTCACTCTGAGACTCAGACGCTTTTGCCCTGTGCTCTAACTCGATAAATAGCTTTTAAGTATGGAAAAGGTATTTTCTCCCTCCCCCCCTCTTCTTGATGAAGAAGGACGATCGCTCAGCTGTTCCGGCCCACATCAGCGCCTCGATCCGATCCAAACCCACTTCATCAGAGCTGCCGTTGGTCCAGTTCTCGTGTTTTTTTTTTAAATCTGATAATGAAGCAAACGAACTTTAGCTGTCATCTCCAGGTTTAGGTGACAGCTGGTGGGTAAAACCAGCTTTGAAGCCCACAAGAGATGTTTCTGAATTCTAAATCGACAAGTWAGGTTGGAGACTGAAGCTCTCATCATTAGACATTGTATAGAATTTTGGAAAAAAATAAATCTGGTGGGAGTAGCTGGTTTTGATGACGTGATGGAGAGCAGGAAGTAAAACGTTTAAGGAGGATACCATTATAGAGAGTTCTTATTATACGATGTGGATCCAGTTTCAAGACAAAGATAACAGCAATTAATTAAATATGTCAGATGTTACACGTATCTTAGAACCTAAAGAGTTGCCGACAATCGAGGYTGTCGATATCACAAACTATCTGCTCCTTCAAACGTCTTACTGCACCAGACCACAGATGAAAGCCTATACAAGTTTGGATGTGTAGAACTTAATTGCTACCTCGTTATCAAACGTCTCCACAATGCTTATTGTTTGGTCTTCACCAGGGTGAGTTTTTGTTTTTATATGTTAAGATGCTAACAGTAGCGGCTAACATCAACAAATGCAGCACCTAACAAGACGTAATGCTAGGGTCGCCTATAAGCCCATAATCATCACTACTACGTAAATGAGCATTTTATGACAACCTAATGCTTTATAAATGGCCACAAAAACAATTTAGCAGCTAACATACCTCCAACAAAGAATTAGCATTAGTACAGTGGTTCCCAAAGTTGGGGTTGGGACCCACAATGGAGTCCCAAAACATAAAGGTGGGGTCCTGAAAAGATTTCCTGAATTAATTATATTAGAAAATAACAACTAACAACATTTTTTGCCTTTGTAGTTACAAAAGAGCAAGGTTAGTGTGCTTAAAACAGACAAAAATAGCATAATGAATATAGTTACTGTGCTCTTATTTCTTTTGATGTGAAAACAATGTTCATGATCCAACAAGAGTTGGGGACTCTGGTCTCTGCTGCTGGTATTTTGAGGGTCAAAGACTGAAAAGTTTGGGAACCATTGCATTAGTAGACTCTGCTTCTTTGACAATCCTTGGTACTTGATGATACCTTTTTTTCAATTGGAACAATTGGATCAAACGTAAACTACAGAAAACATGGACATTTATTTTACTGCAGATCCTCCTTTACTTCACTTCCTTCACTTCCTCCGTCACGTGAAAGCACTGGCTAATTGGCATCTTTGGTATTCAGTTCAACAGACTAAAATCAGAACTTTATTTGAAAATACCTGCATCAAACCTGACAGTTTTGTAGTTGTACTTGTTATCAGCWTTCTGGATTTGTGGTACTACACCTATCACTTAGTTTCCATAAGATAAAAATAGACACCCCATCCTTGTCTTGGYGATCTCTCATAAATGATTATGATCGTCCTCCTTATGGATCCTCAGGTCAATTGTAGACCCAATTGTTCTTGTACAGTGATCTAGTTGACTTGGATTGGGCTTGTTGGATGGATCAACTTGTCTTCAACGCATATTCAAGGTCAACATCGCAGTGTAGGACCCTCATGGACAGTTTTTTGTCAGACAGCTGTGTTTTTAGCAGGGTTAACGTCAACGTGGCACCTTTTACTGCTATCAGTATACAGTACCTCTTCTTTTTGCCTCCTGTGGAGCATTTTCTTTTACCAAGTTGAGAGAAAACTGTTTTGGGAGGTGGGAGTCATTGATGTGACTTTGAGCCCCAAACCGAGTTCAGATCTGAACTCTTCGTGCTAAAAACACCCCCCGTCATAAAAATGACAAATTCTTCTAAAAACGTTGCCGTTCACACCGTTTTCTCGGTCCTCAGGTCCTATCTGGACATGTTGAAGGTGATCATGTTCAGCTACCTGTTCTGGTTCGTCCTCACCATCATCTTCATCACCGGGACCACACGGATCAGCGTCTTCTGCATGGGTTACCTCGTGGCCTGCTTCTACTTCCTGCTCTTCGGGGGCGACCTGCTGCTGAAGCCAATCAAGAAGATCCTCCATTACTGGGACTTCCTGATCGCCTACAACATCTTCGTCATCACGATGAAGAACATTTTATCTGTGAGTTTTTCTAAATTTAATCAAGTTGTTTTATTACTTGAATTTATAACATTTTGGTCATTTTGGTTRTTGGACTTTTATAGCAGAGTTTTTCTTTTCTTTTCTGCCTTCTGAAAGTTGTGTTTCAYAAAGAAGTCTTGTTTGTAGATCCTTGCTTGTGGCTACATCACCTCCCTGATAAAGAACCACTGCTGGTTGATCCAACTGTTCAGTCTGGCGTGCACCATCAAAGGTTACGAGATAAACACCAGTCAGGAAGTTCAAGGTGAGTCGGGTGGACGAGGTGAAAACCCAGTGAAGTCAGAAATTCAGTCAGTTGAAGTTGTCATTTCTCTAATTTTTATTTTATACATTTATTTTATTTAACTCTTAAACCATTTAACGGCGTTGTTTCGGAGGTAGATGGTAAAAGGATTTTGAATGTCGGCGGTACAGGAACTAGCAAGGAGAGAGGTTAACAGCGACTGTAAAACCGATCAGGTACACATTATTTGGACGATTTTCCACGTCATTTAAAGGTCCAGAATAAGAGTGATAAGAAAGTAAACTTTTTAATTAACTAACTTTTTATTTCTCAGGTGAATGTGCTTAAAGAAAAACAAATGTGTCTGTTTTAAGAGCAGTTCTTCATTTATTCTCATCTCTTGTGTTTATTTGTGTAAATTGTACTTGTCTGTGTTTTACTGTTTGTTTAAGTGTAACTTCTTACATTAGTAGTTTTAGAGGTTTTAATTTTGCTGAAAAGCCCGACTAGGGCCAAGCAGACCTATAAACGTTACTGTTCTTTTTAATCAGACTCTGTTTTCGTTTTTAAACTCACACGTTGTCCCAGAAACCGGAGGCCTCTGTGAGCTGCCCAAAGATGAGGCGGGCATCATCTGGGACAGCATCTGCTTCGCCTTCCTGCTGCTGCAGAGACGGGTCTTCATGAGCTACTACTTCCTCCATGTGGTGGCGGACATCAGGGCGTCGCAGATCCTCGCCTCCAGGTGCTCGAATGGCCTCGGCTGCCACACTTTAGACTTTAGGACGGCAATGTATTTATACGTATTGTGGTACGGCGCTGCCCACCTGTCAGTCTGTCTGTGGACAATTTCTTGTCCTAAATTGGTAACATTTAAACAGAGAAAGGTCAAACTGCTGTAAATCTGCAAGGTTTTCTGAAAAAAAGCACCACTTTTTATTGTTGGGAGCGTTATTTTATTTTATTTTTTGTTAAATTTAGTTGATTTGATTATTTGGGATTAAAATACTCAGCATTCAGATTTTTAAGCTTTATTCTGCCTAAAAGAACACTTGGGAAATAAATACTAGTTTGTTTGTGTTTCAAGTACATTCAGTTACTAGATGATACTAATATCAGTATTGATACCGGTATCAATTTTGAGCCCGAGACCAGCATTTTTACAAATATTTGTACAAAATGCCCTGATACCCGATATGATACCAGTATTTGTATCAGTTCTGGGCCCGATACTAGCATTTTTACAAATACTAATTGTATATGTATTAAATATGACCTAATACTCGGGATGGTACAAACATCAGTATTGATACTGGTATAGGTATTGGTGTCGGGCCCAATACCAGCATTTTTACAAATATTTGTACAAAACGCCCTGATACCCAATATAATACCAATATTGGTATCAGYTTTGGGCCCGATACCAGCATTTTTACAAATACTATTTTAAAATCCCTCCATACTGATATCAATATCAATACTGGTGTCTGTATCAGACCCAATGCCAGAGTTTTTACAAGTACTTGTACAAAATGCCCCAAATCTCAAGAAAATATCAATATCAATATTAGTATTTGACTCGATACCAGCATTTTTACAAATATTTGTACAAAATGCCCTGATACCCAATATAATACCAATATTGTTATCAGTTTTGGGCCCAATACAGCATTTTTACGAGTACTATTTTAAAATGCCTGGATACTCTGCATGATACTGATATCAGCATCGATACTGGTATCTATATCAGGCCCAATACCAGAGCTTTTATAAGTACTTGTACAAAATGCCCCGAATCTCAAGAAAATATCAATATCAGTATTAGTATTTGACTCGATACCAGCATTTTTACAAGTACTCGTACAAARCATCCCGATACTCAGGACCAGTACCAATGCTAGTATTGATATGGTATCGATAGTGGTACAGATGGTCCATTCAGTGCRTTTACAGTTTACAGTTCAGCTGACAGGTTTGTCAGTCCCATGTTTAAGACACAGGTTGAAGGAAAATCTTATTTATTTTATTTTAACAGTATATATCATGCTGTTTTGTTTGATTTGATCCATTCAGAGGGGCTGTAGGCTGTAAGGAAGGAGAGCCACATGATTCTAAGTAAAAGAAAACTGTTTTTAAAGTCACTGTGTAATGTTTTAGTTCTAACTCAGTAAGAACTCTGTATCGTCGAGTACCCTATCTGGAGTAATTGTACTCAAATTGAGAAAAACTCGTCATCGGGACACTCCTAAATGAAACCAACTCTTACTTATTTTGTGTGTTTTCAGAGGAGCGGAGCTTTTCCAGGCCACCATCGTGAAGGCGGTGAAAGCTCGGCTGGAGGAGGAGAGTAAATCTGTGGAGCAGCTAAAGCGACAGTGAGAGTCTGAACCTTTGTGTCGTGTCTCTGGTTACCGTCTGTTTACACCGCCTGATTTGACTCAGCATTAAATTTAGATTTGATTTGTTTAGGTTTTAGATTTGTTTCTGCAGGCCGCACGCTCTGGACTGAAGCGAAAACATCTATTTAAAGGTTTGAACTCCATCCTGGAAATATAAATCTCCATCTTTGTGATGAACTTAAACCGTTGGTTGGCCAAGTGTTTGAGCGTTTTTATTCCAGGATGTGTAAACAGGACTGCACTTCTCAAACAYCGAACTTAGCAATAAGGAAGAGCGTCACATACGAACAGACAAACAGACGATTCTTCATGTCTAAAGTTTTTTAAAATGTCCCATCAGGCCCGATATAACGCTCGTTAAATCGTCTCTTAAATTCCTTTGTAGCTAAAATTTCCTCTGCGTCTGTTTGAGGTGCAGCTTTTTATTCTGATCTGAGTTCAAATACTCATTTTTAACCAAAAAAAAAAAAAAAACTTAAGACCTAGACAACTTATGAACATTTTAAAGACGTCTACGTTGAAGATAGAATTGAAAAAAATCAACAGGAAGCTCCTTTTTGGTGTGTACATAATGTAATTCTAACAAATTGATCAAATACATAACTTTTTTTAGCAATTTGGACAAAAATGTTTCATAAGTTGTCTAGTGTGACACTGTCTTAAGATTCACAACTTTTTAGTTGATTCAGAATCTTCACAGGAAATTGTTTTTTTATAGTGACTTTTTTGTTGTTTCCAAGCAGCCAAATTTTCTATTATTCTTTTAAAGAGGTTTTAATTGCTCTTTAAGCTTCCTGAAGAACTTTAAAATATTAGCTTTTTTTAATTTGGATGCTTTTTCACTCGTTTGTAGTCCAGTTTTTGTACCTGACCACGACTTCCTAAGAGGAGCCGGTAAAGGTGAAGAACAAAAATAATGTTAGATGTAAAATAAAAGCTGATTAATTTCTGAAACTAAGAATCAAACTGAAACGGGACCTGAGAGACGCTTTGTCTTTCTCCTGATTTTCAGTTTTTAGACGTAAAATTAATAAATTTCTGTCAAACTCTGTTGCCTTTTAATATTTCTTGTAGATTAAATAAAYAAAGAACCAATGTGCCTGTAACAAAACCCTTAAGGAAAGATTTAAAACTGAACTTTTGTTTTTGCAAAATGGCTTACCAAAGAAATAATCAGGTGAAAGATCAGGTTGTGGACAGAATGAATGGAAAAAGCAGCCAAAGTTCAGAAAATCTGACGAAGTTTTGATCAAAGTCTTTTGGAAAGGTTGCAATAAAGTCTGGCTGCTTGGAAGCTACAATATAAAGAAATAAAATGTGGTTTAAAACTTTCGCACAGCACAATATTTAACTAGATGCAGCTAATCTAGTTTCTCAGGCAGAGACAAATGCTTATTTATGAAAACATTAAACACAAATACAGTTTAAACTAAGTAAAAATTAATAAACCACAAAGTAACCTCATAGTTTTTTCTTATTAATGACTTTAAATAAAATCGCACAAAGCTGCAGCGTAGTTCTGCTTTAGAAAAATAAAAAAAAACTGATAAAATGTCTGAACTGATGCCAAGTGTTGGTGTGAAATTCATCTCAAGATCCACTGAAGTGACGTTTAAAGTTAGTCAACTCAATAAAACACTCAGATTTTTCGGTTTCCTCTTACTTTTCTGGTTTTAATGCATAAAAACACAAAACACAGCGATATTATAACTTAATTTGTGTCCTGTTTATGAGATTTGCTGACACTAAACTCCATCTGCTTCAGTGTTTTTGACAAACCTGATCAGGTTTAACTYGCTCCATAATTAAGTAAACATGATTGTTGTGGTTTTAAAAGCCTCTTTATTGTTTCCTGGAAGACGGCTCTTAGTATATCATCCCACATAAAAGCAGTGTGTTTCCACCACWTATAGTTTCCTCAGGAGTTACTTATATCATCCACTCACCCTCGCTAATGAGCGCCCGGCCCCGGGTGTTATGCAACATCCTGTCGTTTCCACGCCGAAGCCCCCGGGCGTGTTTTTTTTTTTTTTCACCGCCTCAGTCGTGTCTCTGATCTGATCAGGATGGACCGCATTAAGGTGAGGCAGCAGAAGTTCAAGAGGGGCAAGGAGAAGATGCTGAGCCTGACACAGGAGTCTGTGGACGGACAGCCGGCCGCCCGGCCCGCCGAGGAGGAGGAGGACGACGACGGTACGAAACCCATCCCCTCCAGAACGTTTTGTTCGTGTCCCTCCAAGGAGTGGGACGTGTCTCTAAAATCAGTTTGAGAGGAGCTTTTTATTTACTTTTTTTTATAAAATGTTGCATTGATGTATTTGTGGAATTTTAGGGGCACAGCGAACGAAAGCCAAGACCAAAAAAAAGCAGTGGTGGAGGCCGTGGGTTGACCATGCGTCCAGTAGGTTGACCCCACAAATCTTATTATACACTTCTCTTCCTCCACTGTCCTTGGCCTCTTTTGTCCTTGACCAGAACCCTGAGGATTCCCGTACTGCCTCTGGGCCCTGAAGGCACCCCTCACCGAGTCCCCCTGCAGCCTCTTAATCCTCTTCTGTCTCTATTTAAGGACTTACGTTACCTGAACGCCTCGTGTTTCTGCTTAGCGTTATTAAATCAAAAGGCAGAGCAGGTTTGCCTTAAATAGACACAACGAAACGATGAAGAAAAGGACTGACGGCTGCAGGTTTGAGCTCGACGTTGTTTAACGTTTCCTGCCTGAGAAGYCCGCAGTAGAGAATCACTCTGAACAGTTTCCAAGCAAAGACATGAAACCGATCCGCCTTTATTCTCTGTGGACTAAAGGACGAGGTTTGCTCATTCTTTGTCTGTAGACATGATCACCAAACAGGTTTTAAAGCTGAACAGGAGAAAATAAAACTGTTAAATACGGTTAAATATCAAATTGAATGGAATAAAGAGCATTTTTCTCTGTTTTCATCTGTTTGGTTTGAGCTCATGTCTCATGTCACGGTCCGCCCCCAACATGACATTTTACAAATTATTTTATCACTTTGTCATTTGATGTTTCATCTCCATTTCCCAGCATCCTCCCTCATTTCCTGCCCACTGCGGTTCTGTTCAAGGACATAAAGTCAGCCTTGTCTATCCCATTGCTTCTGACACTCAGCTGTTGTAGAAACCAAGATGACATTTCATACTGAAAACWGACATTTTTCCATTTAGTGCTCTGTTTTATGTCTTAATTACAGCTAACTGTAGATTTTTTAGATTATTTATTTAGAATTTAATGGTAAGTAGTTTGTTTTTCATACGTTCTTCTTTTTATCAAGTAATTCCTTCTTTAACTCTTTATTTTATTGCTTTTATAACAGACTTATTTCAGTTTGGGTCCATGTAACGTTTGATTTTCTTCCCCATAGTGGTTAGAAGTGGGGACTATTATTTGTTTGAAACGGATAGCGAGGAAGAAGAAGAGGAGGAGGAGAAAAAAGACGAGGAGCTGCCGAAGAAGTCTGCGTTTCAGGTGATGGTTGTTCTTGTATTTCAGGATGTTTTGGGTCGTTTCCTGGCTCCTAAACCAGTTAACCTCTCGTCACAGACTAAAACCTCCCACTAACCCTTCTCCCTCTTTCTTTTCCCCCCGTCTTCAGCGAGCAATCGGAAAGTTTGTCTCGGCTGTTCTGGCTTTGCCCAAGTCTGTCATTAGGCTTCCTAAAACCGTGCTGCAGTATGTAGTCAAAGCAGGAAAGGTACTCACTGGACTCACCCCAACACTGCTTGCTTCCTGTGTGATTGTCGGACAGCTCTAATAACCACTAATACGTATTAGCTCATATTTCATGTTTATCCAAACAAAAACCAATTTTGGCCAAAATAAATATCAAATGTGAGCTGAAAATCTGTTGCGTTTGCACGAACGTGAGTTTTATTTTCATGAAGTGTCATTTTCTGTTGTCTGCAGATTTTTCAGTCTTATTCTCCTTTTCTGGTCGACTAGAGCATCATTCAAAAGTTCCGTTTTAAAAATGCTGTAATAAGACATTATTGTTTTACTGAAACTAAGCTCTCTGCACTCCAGTTTCTCTACCAGGCCTGGATCACAGATCCCAAAGCTGCTCTGAAGGCACGAGCCAGAGACAAACGCAAATTCTGGAAGAAATACACCAGRAGAGTGAGAAACAGGAAAAGCAAGAAAGATGGTGAGTTTTAGTCATTGATGGGATCCATTAGTCCAGAAATAAAGCCTTTTATTAAAAAAATGAAGAATGAGTTTAAAAAATGTCTTCTGAAACTTTTTGTCCCATCATTGAGTGAAGAGAGGAATTAGAAAAACTCTGTCTTGTGAGTGGGATAACTTAAAATATGAGTGAGGACTTATTTTAGTGTGTGGATGTATTGTAGCCTAAGAAAGGTTCAGATTGAAAACTGGGGTGGCACGTCAAAATTAAAGATGGCCACCTGCCTACTTATCTACCCTACCTATATCTACCTAGCTACCTACCCTACATATATCTACCTAACTATCTACCCTACATATATCCACCTAGCTATCTACCCTACATATATCCACCTAGCTATCTACCCTACATATATCCACCTAGCTATCTACCCTACATATATCCACCTAGCTATCTACCCTACATATATCTACCTAGCTACCTACCCTACCTATATCCACCTAGCTACCTACCCTACCTATATCCACCTAGCTACCTACCCTACCTATATCCACCTAGCTACCTACCCTACCTATATCC